TGGGGAGTTTCTGGGGAGTTTCGAGGAAAATATTTATACGAAATACGATGAAATTTGTAATGAAATGATGCTTTTTCTAATCACTTTTAAAAACTACCGTAATCCTTTAGGGTTTCGTCGTTTTAAAAGACAATTTGGGGGAAATTGCCGTAATCTTTTCTTTAGATTTTGCTTGATAATTGATTTAAGCCAGTAAATCTTGATTTTAATAAGTAACCTTGATTTTAAGCCGGTAAACCTTATCCATTTTGTTAATGAACAAATAGAGCTACCGTACGCTCAACTAGAAGCGTTTTCTCATGAATAATCATCCGCTTTCTAAAAGCTTGGCAATTTGAAAAAGCTAATTTAAAGGAATTTCGAAAAAGCGATTCGTTTCTACGTAGCTATTTTGTGTAGGACAAGCTATTTTCCCGAAATAAGAGCTATTTTTCCGCATCACGAGCTATTTTTAGCGTTGTCTAAAGTCTAAAGAACGATAGTTTTCCCCAAAAACAGCCTGGTAGCCAAAAATAGCTAAGAAAAAAAGGATTCTCCCCGGCCGGGAATTGAACCCGGTTCTCGCATGTGACAGACGCGGATACTAACCACTATACTACCGAGGACGTGGCGTTCAGAAGGTTTTTTCGGCACAAGTGGATGGCGAGTTCGAGTTGGCGGTGACGAGACTCAGTACTTCGTAGTTAGAATTGAAGCCGCCACCGATTTATTCCCGAAAAAACCTTCTGAACCCCACGTCCTCGGTAGTATAGTGGTTAGTATCCGCGTCTGTCACATGCGAGACCCGGGTTCAATTCCCGGCCCGGGGAGAATTTTTAGTTTTTAAAAGGTGATTGATTTCGGAAAAACTACCGTAACCTGTCCGCTACTTATTTTGTTTTACGTACTTCTTTGAGTGTATTTTGCTCTTAAACATGAGTATAAAGTCGTTTAGTTGCTTTTATATTGATCACTTTTCATTAGCCGAGCAATCACCATTTCACCATTTCCGGTGGGTGAAAACAAAAAAATCGGGAAAAAAAGGGAAAATCTAAGACTTTTCCTTTTCTTTTTTTAATGATAGCTTTAAAAGTCTCTCTAAAATTGCAAAAAATGGCAAATTTCTGGGGGTTTTTTGAAAAAAATTGAAAATTTCTCAGGGAAAACGCGAAAATTTCGACGTCAAACGATCATTTCCGTCCATTTTTTTCCTGTTTTTCCCTAATCATTTCAAATTGTTTTTAAAAATCAAAATTAAAATGGAAAAGAGCTTTTTATGAGCTTTCGCCTTGTTTTTTCTTTATTCATTTAAGTGGAAAATTGTTGGAATTCGTTGGAGGAGAGGGAAATTGAAAATTTCTGAAAAAAAGTTTGAGAAAATCGTGAGAAATCGTGATAGATTAAACGGTTAGAAATTGTTTATGTGGTACGAGTTGCACCAAATTGCAGCTTTGTTTATGTTTCTGTGGTACGAGTTGCACCTAATTGCAGAGTATTGCTTAAGACTAGCTTTCCAGCTCACAGAAAACACCAAAGAATCACCTTTTTAGCAAAACTTGGAAAGTTATTGAAGTTTGACTCTGGTTTACGGGAAGAAAAAACGTCAAAAGGCTGTCCAAACTACTGTAACCCCAACTAGCGTAACCCCCAACTACTGTAGTCAGCAACTAGCGTAACCCCAACTAGCGTAACCCCAACTAGCGTAACCCCAACTAGCGTAACCCCCAACTAGCGTAACCCCCAACTAGCGTAACCCCCAACTAGCGTAACCCCCAACTAGCGTAACCCCCAACTAGCGTAACCCCCAACTACCCTAATCCCCAACTAGCGTAACCCCAACCGCCGTAAGCCCAACTACCATAACCCCAACTACTGTAGCCACCAACTACCGTAGCCACCAACTAGCGTAACCCCCAACTACCCTAGCCCCCAACTACTATACTTTTAAGACAAACGGTTACGGTCGTCTGAACTGAAAGTTTGAACGTCTGAATAAGACAAACGGTCGTCTAAACACTTCTACCCAAGCTATCTAATTGATATAAAGGAGCAATGTCTGTCTGTTCGTCTTTTTGTCTTTTTCTTAGCCTCGTTTAGACCAAAACAAGCTGAAATTATGTAAAAAGTCTTAAAATATAATATAGTCATGCTATTTTAAATCAAAGATTGAAAAAGTTAGAATTCAGTGGCGCTAGGGGGTCCGAACCCGGTTCATGTGCGCCGTAGACAAGCGCGCTCCCGACTGCACCACGATGACAAAGATCGATGGGCAGAATAAAGCTCGAAAACCTCGCTGATTTCTGGTTTCTCGGCTAGTAAAGCATGTATAGAATTCGCATTTTTGACGCTACATTTTTGCAAATTCTTATGCAGATATTTTTAGTTACTTTCATTCATTTCATCGAACATAAAACAAGACTAATCTTCTGCAAAAAAGAGAAAAAAGAAAACTTTCTCACCGTTATTTGCTCAGAGAATGAGGGTGAGCCGGTGATCGGGTTACTCGCGTCATTCATAGAGTGCTGGTCAATGCATATGGGGAAAATTGGTTAAAAATTGGTTAAAAATTGGCTAAAAATTGTCTAAAATTGGCTAGAATTTGTTAAAATAGGCTAAAATAGTCTAAAATAGGCTAAAATAGTCTAAAATAGGCTAAAATAGTCTAAAATAGGCTAAAATAGGCTAAAATAGGCTAAAATAGTCTAAAATAGTCTAAAATAGGCTAAAATAGGTTAAAATAGGCTAAAATAGGCTAAAATAGGCTAAAATAGGTTAAAATAGGCTAAAATAGGTTAAAATAGGTTAAAATTGGTTAAAATAGGTTAAAATTGGTTAAAATTGGCTAAAATTAATTAAAATTGGTTAAAATTGGTTAAAATTGGTTACAAAATGGCTAAAATTAGCTAAAATAGGCTAAAATAGGCTAAAATAGGTTAAAAATTGAAATTGGAAACAATTGAAAGCACTAGAACAAGGCTAGTAATGAAATAGAAATGAAAACTTAAACCTTGGTAGATAGAAACGCCTTAAAGTCTAAATAAACGTGTAATAACCTAAAGTGATTAGGTTGGAAAGGTCAAAATGAGGGATTTATTTCTTCTCTTCAATTATTAATTGCTTAAAAACCCCAAATTGATATTCTATTTTTGTTCTCGATTTCCAAAAAGTTTTTGATCAAAAGATTCAAGAGATTTTCGGGGGATGAACAAAGGAACACAGGCTTGAGTACATTTGAGACTTTTCTTAGAGCACGTGATCACAATCAAGGTCATTCATTGCAAACCTCGCAAAACGAGTTGATCAAAATGATTCAAAATGATCCAAAATGATCCAAAACGATCCAAAATGATCCAAAATGATTTAAAACGATCCAAAACGATCCAAAATGATCCAAAATGATCCAAAACGATCCAACATGATCCAAAATGATCCAAAATGATCCAAAATGATCCAAAATGATCCAAAATGATTCAAAACTATCCAAAATGATCCAAAATGATCCAAAAAGATCCAAAAAGATCCAAAATGATCCAAAATGATGAGTTCCTTGTTATTTGGGGAAATGGAATTGAAAGAGTTATGCTGAAAGCTGAAAGAGCTACAAAATGAAGTGTTTCCAAGCCAATAAACTCATCACAAAACTCTCTAAAAACTTGGATAATTACCGTATTCTCTCTAATAGTAGTGCACCCCGGCGAGCCGAGTTGGCGACTATTTTACGGCTTCCAAGCTTTTGCAGAAGCTCAACACCCTAATCCCCCACTAGATCTCATCGTCAGCTACATTTTCCGACCCCACATCGATAGGTTCTGATAAGCGGTTCTCGAGATTTCGAGGAATTTAGGCAATGCTTACGGTGCTTAGCTTAGAGATTACGATTCTATAGATAAATCTATAGAAATAAGCCGAATACAATTCCACTCATCACTGAGAAAAACTCAGAAATGAGGAAATAAAATGACGCAGCTTTTGCTTGTGTATTGTTTGTAACAGATTATTTGTTTGAATGAATGTATTTTATTCAAACAAATTGTATTATTTTTAAAACCTTTATTAGTTTAGTCTGGTTTAGTCTTTTTTTTAATCTAAAATCTCGAATCTAATCTTTTTTAATCAATCTTATCAGTCAATCAATCAATCAATTTAATCTTAAAACACTTTTACGAGAATTTTCTCTCTGCAGTTTGCCATTTTGATCTCTCATCTCCTCTCTCTCATCAATAACAATTATTTTCAAAGTTTCCATTTTAAAAATCTAGTAAACAACAAGAATCAAAAGATTTGGGTTTGAGAGAAATGGAAAAAGGAAAGAAGAAGGAAAGAAGGAAAGAAGAAGGAAAGAAGAAGGAAAGAAGATTGAAAGAAAGAAAGAAGATCAAAAGAAGATTGAAAGAAAGAAGGAAAGAAGATTGAAAGAAGATCGAAAGAAAGAAAGAAAGAAGAAGGAAAGAAGAAGGAAAGAAGAAGGAAAGAAAGAAAGAAAGAAAGAAAAGAAAAAGCAATGTCACAAATGAGAAAAAAGATAAATGAGAACAGTTGTCTTGTTTTTCTCCACTCGATTACAAATATCGAATCAAAAATCCAGTGGCCACACATGGGGGAACGAAAAAAAGCAATAAACACTATTTGGTACATTAAAATTAACCTCTTTAACAGAAATTTAAATGGCAAAAGCACTAGATGGCAAAAGAAACTTCCCTTCACTTAAAACTTCACTTAAAATTAGCACAACTTTTCCCAACGGTTTCGTTCTTCTTACGTTCTTCTTTCTTCTTTCGTTCTTCCTTCTTCTTTGGTTCTTCCTTCTTCTTCCGTTCTTCCTTCTTCTTCCGTTCTTCCTTCTTCTTTTTTCTTTCGTTCTTCCTTCTTCTTTGGTTCTTCCTTGGTTCTTCTTTCGTTCTTCTTTCGTTCTTCTTTCGTTCTTCTTTCCTTCTTCTTTCTTTTCTTAAAACAAATGAATTAGTGATCAAAAAGTGTTATCTATTCGATAATTAACAAATTTTATTATTCAAAAATTTTAGATTAGTCGAAAACGAGGAGGCTTTGATCTTGAACGTTTCTCCTCCATTCACCACCTCCTACAATGGAGTGGCTTTCACGTGGACTGCCAGGTGAAGATTATATATTGAATTGATGGGTATGTCTTGCCTAACAAAGATGGCTGATGGGCCCGGATGGCTCGTCACCACCCATCCAAGTGAATTTAGTATAGAACGAGGCACCTTCGAAACATTAGAATTTTCATGTTGAAGAATGATTTTTCTCTAGGTCTTTTCTCTAGCCAAGATTTGATCATTTGACAAGTCGCTTTAAGCTTGATTAAGTTGAGTTATTGCTATCGAAAAGTTCCTAGTAGATAAGCTCTTCCAAAACCCAGATCAGATCAAACCCCAGAACACCGAGAGCCTAAACTTCTTCCCATGTACATTTGGCTTGACGTCGGGTTTGGGCATACCCAGCAACCCAATAGCACTATTCGAATACTTAGCTATAGCCAGGGATTGTTCTAAATCGAAAAAATGGATTCAAGATCCCATAGCCGACTCTTTGCCGAGCTTGACTCATTGCTGGCCGAGGTTGACTCATTGCTGGCCGAGCTTGACTCGCTGGCCGAGCTTGACTCATTGCTGGCCGAGCTTGACTCATTGCTGGCCGAGCTTGCCTCGTTGCTGACCGAGCTTGGCCCTTGTAAATATATCTAATTACAATTCTCTATCTTCAGATTATCGGACGAGTGTGTGGTTTGGGGTGGCGGTGAGATCGGACCGTCGAAGGAGCACGTCTTCGCCTCACTCTACTATAAAGATGGCATTGCACAGGATGTTTGGGTGGATGAAGTGAAGTAAATCTTAAATCTAAAACCCCCAGCTATTCACATTTATTCCAGAATGGCCATCTGTGACACGAACGGACAAGTGCTGTTCAGCGATCTGAAGATTCCTGAGGCTGAGTGGACGAAAGGTAAAGCTGAAGAATTGTTTATTGAGAAAGTTAGTGTTGAAAAGTTAGTGTTGATTACAGCAGATGTTTTACGTTTTATCTTAGACTAGATTCTTGATAATCGGATAGCGATAGCGATAGCGTAAAGATGTTTTCTAGGCAGTGGCTGGCCGGTGCAACTCGAGCGCGGCCGACAGGCGCAATTCACCGATTTTGTGCACAGTCGCGTCGACGAGCAAATTTGGATTCAAGTGGAAATCAGGTAGGTAACAAAACTTTATCTAAAGCACAGACTGTAAGAGTAACTAACTTCTTTTCTGCGAAGAGAGCTGATCGGAGATGATTGATTCTTGATTGATTCTACAACGACATAGTGACGGCATAGCTGGTCATATTGAGGCATAGCTGGGCATATTGAGGCATAGCTGGCCATATTGAGGCATAGCTGGGCATATTGAGGCATAGCTGGCCATATTGAGGCATGGCTGGGCATATTGAGGCATAGCTGGGCATATTGAGGCATAGCTGGCCATATTGAGGCATAGCTGGGCATATTGAGGCATAGCTGGGCATATTGAGGCATAACTGGGCATAGTGACGTTCAAAAACGACAAACCAGCTCAATCGCTGACCTCTCCTTCTTATTAATTCATCCCAAAAGAAAGCATCTATCTATTGCGGACCTGTGCCAGATGGAGTACGATTACGCGGCTGCAAAAAGAACACCCATTAATCATTTCTCTTTTCTCTGTAAATCATTCCCAAATGAAATTTACGGTTTAAAATTTGTGCCCTGGGGTTTTCAAGGTCGTAGAATCTATTGGCAGAGTTTATTTTAATCATTTGTCTCAAGAAAAGTCCCAAGAATCGGGTTAAATTACCGTAAATACTGTTATAGTATCCCACCCCGATAATGACGATGCGGAGTGTTGCGTAGTCTAGCTTTGAGCGAGTTTTTCTCGACACTGGTTTATGCTACAATGCGCGCTTAGGTATCAAAAAATAGCTGAAATTCAGGGTTATTTTTTGATACCAAACATGCATTTTTTGAAAGTATGGGCGCTTTGAAAAAATACTAAAAAGAGAAATACTAAAAAACTTTTGCGACTACGTGACTGTACGAGCGTACGGTACTATTACAGTATTTACGGTAGGGTTTTACGGTAGGGCTTTTCATATGATAGCTTTTCATAATGAAAAGATCTGGTTTACTTGTTGCAAAAGTCGGACAAGTACTGCAAGCTATGGTACTAGTCTACATGTACTATGTACTACTGTACTGTACAAGTACTGCTGTACTGTACAAGTACTGCGGTACTGTACAAGTATTGCTGTACTGTACAAGTACTGCTGCACTGTACAAGTACTGCTGTACTGTACAAGTACTACTGTACATGTACAAGTTACTATGTACAACAGCAGCCTTACTATGCACAGAACTACTTCTAACTAATACTAACTAATAACTAGCTAGTAATACAAGGCTATTTCTAACTAGTAACTAAGTTCTAAGTCTCAGTAAAGCTCACTGTCTGTTCCAGGAACTCTGGCAGAAAGACTTCTGTACATAGTAATGCTGCTGCTGTACATAGACTCAAGGCAGACTGGGGTTGGCTTAGGCCTAAGATTAGATATTATTAACCTATAAGTAAAGCTATAAAGCTACTGTAGCTATCAAAAAATCAAAAACTGAAGTCTTGCACTGATTTTCAGAATGAAAACCTCAATCTTCAACCCAATGAACTATCTTCCATCAGTCGACAAAGCTTGTCGGAGTCAGCGAATTGAAGAGGTAATTTGCGTAGCAATTATTGAGCCATTAACTGAATACTTATTTAAATACATTATCAGAATTACAGTATGAAATACAGTCTCCTACAGTTCTCCATTTCAGTGCTGTCAGAAGTACGTTCAGGACTTTAAAAAAGGCGTCGTCTTCGTCCCGAACATGGATCTTCTCAATCCGGAGTCGAAAGTGGGAAAAGTTTGCATTCAAATTCCCCTTCAAGTCTTTACAGTACCCTTTTAGCCGTAAACTTATTGTTTTCTTATGATTTCAATTTCAGGAAGACAAATTCGCGATGCATCGCTTGGTTTTCGTGCATGGATGTGGAATCGTTGAGGAGCAGTGCGCTGGAGACAATGATAGCGCTGAAATGTTGAGGCATATCAGGAGTGTAGGTTTTATCTTTGTTATTAGAAATGGGTACTATAGGTCAGGCTATGATCAAGCTAGAGTCAGGCTGTGATCAAGCTAAAGTCAAGCTATGATCAAGCTAGAGTCAGGTTGTGATCAAGCTAGAGTCAGGCTATGATCAAGCTAGAGTCAAGCTATGATCAAGCTAGAATCAGGCTATGATCAAGCTAGGCTAGGGTCGGGCTAAAGTCAGGGTTGAACTGTCCAGGTTGAAGCTATGCTAGACACTTTAGAGCCAGTCTTGGTCTTGGTTCTATGCAGTCTTGGTTTTGCTCTTGTCAATCCTGAGCCTGAGTCAATCCTGTCAATACTGGTTCTTGCCTGGATGTAAACTAATCCTAGCCCGATCTTGAACTACTTCTTGAAACAGTCATTGGTCCAGCCCGGCTAACCTGATTCTAGACTAATCCTAAGCTTTGCTAGACTTGGCCCTAATTACCTGATTGAACTGGATCTTATAGTTAGTCTTAGACTTGTCCCCGCTTGGTCCTGAGCTAGTTATGACCTGACCTGACCTGACCTGGAACAAGAGCTCATTGGATTAGGCTCAGCTCATGATCCTGGGTTAAGTCTAACAAAACTTTCACATACAACTTTTAAAAAGTTATTTCCAGCAATTCGCTCACGTTTACTTCAAAGATGTTCTAATGAAAGAAGTGAATTTTTATGAGGATTTTGTTGCTCTTTTGGAAGGAGTTATCGCCGCTCACTTGCCCGCATTGAAGAGAGAAGCTGAAAAATTTATGTGTCGTGAAGTGATGACTGTAAGTGATAGAAATTCACCAATTTACATAATATGCGTCACATCTATAGTCCAGGACTGTCCAGAAAGTCTTTTAGTTCCTTTTCCTCCTTTTCCTCCTTCCTCCTTTCCTCCTTTCCTCCTTTCCTCCTTTTCCTCCTTTTTCTAAACAGCCCAATATTCTTGACAAGAAATGCTTTCCAGGAAAACGCCGATTCGATGTTTATCAAGAGAATGCTTTTGTTGTCTGAAAGATATCGACTTGATGTGTTGAAGGTAAAAACATTACCGAATCAAATATAGTTATCTTTTGCCTAAAAGAAGTCAGCTGTCTGTGCCTAGTCAGCTTATCCTCTACTTGATTCAGTTTGATCTTAGAAACGATAACAAATTCAGGGTTTTAACTGACTTTGCTATTAGGCCAGGCCAGGGCCTGATCCAGTATTGGCTTGGTCCTGAGCCAGTTTGATCATAAATTCTAACATCCTAGATAGCGGCCAGCCCAAGAGCCTAAGCCTTAGCCTGAGCCAGAGCCTGAACGTGAGCCTGAGCTGAGCTGAGCCTGAGCCTGAGCCTGAGCTAACCAGGTCAAGCCTTGGGCTAACCAGGTCAACTTGAGCTTAGGCTTGGGCTTAGGCTCAAGCCAGCCAGCTCAAGTTGCCAGACCTAGTTAGCCGGCTCAAGCCAGCCAACTTGAGCTGGCTAACCAGGTCAACTTGAGCTGGCTAACTAGGTCAACTTGAGCTGGCTAACCAGGTCAACTTGAGCTGGCTAACTAGGTCAACTTGAGCTGGCTAACCAGGTCAACTTGAGCTGGCTAACTAGGTCAACTTGAGCTGGCTAACCAGGTCAAGTCTTGGTCTAGTCAGACCAAGAAGCCTTGGGGCTAGTCAAGCCAAACCTTGGGTTGGTCAAGCCAAGAAGCCTTGGGCTAGCCAGGTCAAACCTTGGTGTAATTCTAGTGATCTAGTGTAATTCTAGTGAATTCTAGTAAATCTAACAAATTCAGAGCTTGGCTTGACTCTGAATTAAGGCTAAAAAGTGTAAAACAAAAGCCTATTACCATTCAGATGGTGGCCACCGGAGTAGTCGCCGATCAAATCATCGCCCATCAAGATCCACCCCAGGAATTCATCCAAATCAAGCACGAGCTCAAATCGTTGGCCTCCGAGATTAGCCAGTGAGTTCTAGAAAGAGATAGCTTTCGTTTTTGATCCTAACTTTTCAATGGTTTAGTTGCAGTTCGGTGGACGATGATGAGGATGTGGACGAGTTGCTTGTCGGCTCAGTTGTCGAGGATTTGCAAAGCTTGACCAGAAGGTTTTGTATTTGAAATTAGAATAGAGATCTAGGAATTTCTAAATTTAACTAATCTTATCGAATTTCCTTAACACTATCTTCAAATTTCAAGTCTCAAACTGTCAAAAACCACTCATTTTCAACAAATTTCTATTTCTTTTCATATTTCATCTATTTGAATATTATTTTGAAATCTCTCTAATCAAATTATTTTCAGAATTCGACGAGTTTCTCTATCACACAGCCCATCGCAAAGTAGCGCTAGCTCAGCCTCAAGCGCCACCGCAACACCAACTGGTTTGTTCGGTTTGTTCCAGAAAATAACACAAATCTTGCTTTATCTTATTGTTTCTCATTTTAAATTCTTAAATAAATAGATAGATAGATTATAAAGGCTAATCATCAGTGCTGCCAGGCTTAGGCTAGTCGTTAGTGCTGCCAGGCTTAGGCTAGTTGTCAGTGCTGCTAGGCATACCGTAAATACTGTAATAGTACCCCACAAAAAAAACTTTTGCGACTACGCGACTGTACGAGGGGTCGTACAGTCGCGTAGTCGCAAAAGTTTTTTTTTGTTTTTTAGTATTTCATTTTTTTCAAAGCGCCCGTACTTTCAAAAAAAGGCGTGTTTGGTATCAAAAAATAGCCCTGAATTTCAGCTATTTTTTGATACCCAAGCGCACATTGTAGCATAAACCAGTGTCGAGAAACACTCGTTCAAAGCTAGACCACGCAACACTCCGCACCGTCATTATGGGGGTGCGGTACTATTACAGTATTTACGGTAGGTACTATAGAAGTTCCGAGGGATATAGGGATACAGGCTGAAGCCTGTAGGGGTACAGCCTATAGGGATAGAGCTTGTAGGGGTTCAGCCTGTAGGGGTACAGCCTTTAGGGATAGAGCTTGTAGGGGTACAGCCTGTAGGGGTACAGCCTTTAGGGGTACAGCCTAGGGTACAGCCTAGGGTACAGCCTAGGGTACAGCCTGTAGGGGTACAGTCTGTAGGGGTACAGCCTGAAGCCTATAGGAAGTTCTTTGCCTTATTTTGTACTTGCTCTCCAACTCCAACAAACTAGCCACGAGATTAATCGAAAATTTTAGTTCTAAATTAAAGAAAGTGCTTACTTTATCATACTAAGAATGATTTATATCTAAAAATATGATTTATATCTATTTTAAAACTCAAATCCTTTCAGGAGTTCCTTCATTGTCTCCTGGAGTCGCCGAGCAACGTCCATTCGATTCTCCATCGACTGGACGCTTTAAGAGAGTCGAATTAGATGTTGGATAATGAATAAGGATTGAATAATGTTTGAATGATGTTTGAATAATGTTTGAATCAGGATTTTTGTTGACAAACAGGCGTCAGTCAAATGAGATTAATGCTTAACATTTAGCTGTGATCAATCCAGAACAATTGTTCGTCAAATTTGACAATAAAAATCCAGATCAACATAAAGAAAAAGCTTTAACTAAAGTCTCTAATAAATGGTTTTGCCTGGTCTTGAGCTAGCCAAGTCTTGAGCTAGCCAAGTCTTGAGCTAGCCAAGTCTTGAGCTAGCCAAGTCTTGAGCTAGCCAAGTCTTGAGCTAGCCAAGTCTTGAGCTAGCCAAGTCTTGAGCTAGCCAAGTCTTGAGCTAGCCAAGTCTTGAGCTAGCCAAGTCTTGAGCTAGCCAAGTCTTGAGCTAGCCAAGTCTTGAGCTAGCCAAGTCTTGAGCTAGCCAAGTCTTGAGCTAGCCAAGTCTTGAGCTAGCCAAGTCTTGAGCTAGCCAAGTCTTGAGCTAGCCAAGTCTTGAGCTAGCCAAGTCTTGAGCTAGCCAAGTCTTGAGCTAGCCAAGTCTTGAGCTAGCCAAGTCTTGAGCTAGCCAAGTCTTGAGCTAGCCAAGTCTTACCGTAACATTCACTGATCTTAAACAATTCTAACCGATCCTGGGTTTCGCATAAATCCTAACCTGACCCTGGTTTTGCCTCCTCTACCTAGTCCTCGACCTAGTACTCAACCCAGTACTCAAATTTCCCATTTATCTCTCGCCCCGTTGACAACTTTGCTTACAATTTGACCACCCAATCACAATAATCCCTCTGGATTACTTAATAATATTGGTTTATAATTTTGTTTGCATTTTTTTTCCACCACGAGTTAGGCAAGGATTTTCTCTGCTAATGCATTATAATTTTGGTTTTCGCACATTTGAGAAGCTCCCCGCCTTTTTTGCCATTAGCAATCTAGCTTTGAGCTCAAATATCTTGGTGTTGGGCTGTTCAATTTCAATCTCCTTGATATCATTAGACGCGCCAAATCTTCCTCTGTCGATTGGTACAAAAACTATTTCAATTGAACAGCCGAACGCCAAGAAATTTGAGTTCAAAGTTGGATTGCCAATCGCAAAGGGGCGGGGTGCGCTTTTTATACGCCCCGCCCCTTTTTACATCCTTTTTACGCCATTTTTATACGCTCCGCTCCTTTTTACACCCTTTTTTATACGCCCCACCCCTTTTTACACCCCTTTTTATACGCTCCGCCCCTTTTTACGCCCTCTCCCTGTTGTCATTGGTAATCTAACTTTGAGCTCAAATATCTTGGTGCTGAGCTGTTCAATTTAAATCTTCTTGATATCCTTAGACGCGCCAAATCTTCCTCTGTCGATTGGTTTAAAAACTATTTCAATAGAACAGCCGAGCATCAAGAAATTTGAGTTCAAAGTTAGATTGCCAATGGTAAATGATTGCTAATGGCAAGAGCGTTATAAAATGTCCCAAAATCTTCTAGTTTACTCTATTTTTCCCTATGCTTAACCTGGAGAGTTTTGTGATTAATTTTTGAAAGAAAATCCCGATGATTCGTTATTTTTCAAGAGAAATCAGGTCCTTTTTCACGTAATAATTCAAACTCTTTGCTTACCGGTACCCAGCTTTTTCGTTACAAAAAAAGAAGCCCTTTTTTACAAGAAGTCACCTCTATTGTACTTGTATTGTACTACTTGAAGATTGTATCAGATATTGTGCGTTTAGAGCACAGTATAAAAGAATCTTTCATGTTTCATTGTTACATTTTTGTGTGATTGTGTTTGTGTGTTTGATTTTCACTGATTGGTGCAATTTTTTTCGCAATTTCTGCGTCTTTTGCCTTCAATTTCTGAGCGATTACCGTTGAAAAGTTAAAAAATTGAAAGTATACGTTCCTAGGCATAAACGGATGTGAACTAGAATTTGGGTTAAGTTAAAGAGAGTGAATCCTTTTGATATCCCGCCATCTCTAACACCCCGACAACCCTAACTCCTCCAACTCAACTCCTCCAACGTATTAGAGGGGAGTCCCTGTGAAATGACCGACCTGTACTGCAGTTGCATAGACCCGGAAGATACGTATCTTTATTTGCAGTAATACAATAAGATGAATAGATTAGAAATGAGTGTAAGGGGAAGGGGGGACTCCAAATGAGAGTCTCTTGTCCCACTTGAGTCCCTTGAGTCCACTTGTCCTCCTAGGCAATCCTAAGGACGGCCCCTTCTCGACAATAAAAGGGATAAGCACAGGGGAGAACACATTTGCATAGACATAGACAAATCATTCAATAATAACAATAGTAACTAAAATATCAGTTTGGCTCGGAGCTGACAAAAGATTAAATTGAAAGATTAAATTAAAAGATTAGATTAAAAGATTAAATTAAAAGATTAAATTGAAAAGCTTTCGAATTTCTTTAAAAATTCTCAATTTCATTGTCATTGTCAATTTCGAATTTTTCTCGAGCTCAGGTCTAATTTCCTCAAATTTCGATCGAGAATTGCCCGGTGTTTTTGAATTTTTCGTTTTTCTTTTTGATTTCTTTTTGATTTCTTTTTGTTAGTTAGCGTACCGGTTTTGTTTTTATCTGTATATATGTAAATAATTTAATGTTTTTTTCTTTTGGTTTAACAAATTTCTTTGGGTTTTACAACATTTTGATGTTTATTTGTAGATTCACAAGCTTGATTTCAATTTTTAAACTTTAAACGAGTAGTTTTAAACTTTAAACTTTAAACTTTAAACGTTAAACTTTAAACTTTTTTAGCTTTTGGTTTGTTTTCCCCCTTTTTGAGCTGAATATCTTTCTTTTTTTCAAAAAAAAGGAAAAGATTTCAAATAAAGCTGTGTAAATGGGTGGAAGAGTGATCATTTTTGTGGTCTGACCCTCTGGAAAACTGGAGTGGCAGTGCTCAGATTGGACAAATTGATTACAATTCATCTTCTCATAATCAGTAACCCAATAAACGTTTTCTTTTTGTAATAAAACAATTCGCATAATAAAACTGCATTTAAACTGCATAAAAAAAGATTTATTTTAAAAGAAATTGCACCTAAAACTCAAAGCATTGACCAGAAAAAGGAATATACAGGGTGCGTCATAATTATTGCAACAAGATACTCAAGGCATTGCACTCAAGGCATTGCACACCAAGAAGTTTCACTGGAAGAAGATTTTTAAACAGAAATAGCTTTATTTAACAGTAACAAATAAGGAAACAAGAGATCATTCGATATGACCGCCTTTTGCCTTGATAACAGCCCTTAATCGGTTCGGATATGCCTCCACTGCGGCCCGAATGTCACCTTGAGGACTCCTCATCCTTTGGCTTTCCATCCTTTGGTCAAAGACTTCTTCAAAGAATCCAAACTCGTGTGTTTTCGAGAGCAGACATTAGCCTCTAAGATTGCCCAAATGGAAAAGTCCATCACATTGAGATCCGGTGAGTTTGGAGGCCATTCATCCTTGGTGATCACTGAGGGAAAGTTGGCCACACACCAGTCCTGAACCGTCTTCTTCGTGTGAGCGGGAGCTCCATCTTGCATGAAGGTCCAATTTTGATTGTTATTGGCCTTACACGCCCATGACATCACATTCTTCTTTAAAACGGTCTTTGAACTCTTGTTGCAATAATTATGACGCACCCTGTAAATACTTTATTTAGAAAGAAATAAAGTGCGCAAACGACAACGAAATAAACGACGAAAACGACGAAAAATGTAGCAGATAAAAGATCACAAAGTCACTTAAAATGCAACGAAATAGCCCTTTTAAAATCAGACACGGTGGAGATCAAACGCAACTTGTCGGGAAGGGCATTCCAAACTTTAATCACACGATTTACAAAAAAAGCTCTAGAGGATTTAGAGAAAGCAGATTCGGGATGCAAGATAAAAGAGCCACGCCTAGTCGCCAAAAGCCTCGAGTTTAGCCGAAAATTTTTTTTAAAAAGAGGCTTTTGATGTTTTCCTTTTACAATTTTAAAACACTCAACCAAATCTATGATAAGACGGCGCTGTTCTAAGGTTTCAAGTGAGAAAAGTTTCAATTTATTTTTATGCCTGACGGATGAGTAGTTAGCAAAATCAATTTTGAATAGTGCTATTCGAGTAAAGTTTTTCTGAACCTTTTCAATGTTGTCGCTTAGGGATTTATTGGGTTGGTGAATTGAAAACTGCCGGCTATTGTCATATGTCCCAGTTTGAGCACTTTCTTCAAAAGAAACCCATTTTGGTGTCAATGGAAAAGTTGTAGAGAATCAAAAATGAAGCTTATATCCAAATTTTCAGAACGATTAAAAAACTGGTTTTCAAGAAATGCGAAATTTACGAATTTTCACAAATGAAATGACGAAAAAGGAGGGGGAGGGAGGGGGGGTTACGGTATCTGTCTGTCTTTCTGTCTGTCTTTCTGTCTGCCTTACTGTACGGGCATTTTTCCAGCCGTATTTTGACCAATATTTCATTTTTTGTAAATAATTTAATGTTTTTTTTCCTTTGGTTTAACAAATTTCTTTGGGTTTTACAACTTTTTGACGTTTATTTGTAGATTCAAAAGCTTGATTTCAATTTTTAAACTTTAAGCGAGTAGTTTTAAACTTTAAAGTTTAAACTTTAAACGTTAAACGTTAAACTTTTTCAGCTTTTGCTTTGTTTTCCTCTTTTTTGAGCTGAATATCTTTCTTTTTTTCAAAAAAAGGAAAAGATTTCAGATAAAGCTGTGTAAATGGGTGGAAGAGTGATCATTTTTGTGGTCTGATCCTCTGGAAAACTCGAGTGGCAGTGCTCAGATTGGACAAATTGATTGCAATTCATCTTCTCATAATCAGTAAAACCAATAAACGCTTTCTTTTTGTAATAAAAGAAATTCGCATAATAAAACTGCAGATAAAAAAAATCAAAAAAGATTTATTTTAAAAGAAATTGCACCTAAATCTCAAAGCATTGACCAGAAAAACGAAAATTTAAACAAAAAAAACATTGAGATCATTTGAGCAAATGTTTTTGCTAATCGGGGAAATGCGTTTTAGATGTTTTTATGCCTTTTGATTGCTTTTTATTTTCATTTTCTAGCCGAATTTTGTTAGATTCACAAGCAGAACTCTCGATTACTCTAGAAAAAGGCTTTTTTTGAATAGGAAAAGGCTCATTAAGCTTTTTTTGAACCTTCTAAACCTTCTTAGGAACATTACATCGAAGTAGACGATAGAAAAGGCGCTTAAAGTCGTTAAAAGCCGTTTAAAGTCGTTAAAAGCCGCTTAAAGTCGCTTAAAATCGCTAAAAGCCGTTTAAAGTCGCTAAAAGCCGCTTAAAGTCGTTTAAAGTCGTTAAAAGCCGCTTAAATTGGCTTAAAGTAGCTAAAAGCTCGTTTCATACTTCAAGCTTCTAAAAGTCGATCTAAAACGCATTTCCCCAACTTTTCACTAGAGCCTACTCTCAAAAATACTCTCAAAAAGAATCTAAAACGTTTTGAAGAGTTCAACTTGTTTAGTTAATTTAAGGTATGACTGACACAGAGTTGAGTATAAAATCGAAACGGTGATAAAGTTTTGTTAAGCAATTTAAGCAAGTTAAGCAATGTAAGCAAGTTAAGCAATTTAAGCAAGTTAAGATTACAAATCGTTAAGCAATTCTTCTAATGTACCAAATCAATGACTAATAAAAACATCGGCATAAACTCTCTATACAAAGCATTACCAAAATTTCGTCATTCATTTAACCGAGTTGATCACAGATGTAGTTGTGCAACTAAAACGGGGGTTCAATAAACTGTAAAATAACTTTTTGTGTTGTGTTGTGTTGTATAAAATGTAAAGATCGAGTTAATCGAGTAGATTTTAATGCCAACATCTACTAGCATTTTAAAGTGAACTTAAACTCAACTTACCTATTCTAAAGTGAACTTAAAGTCAACTTAGAGTCAACTTACCTATTTTAAAGTTAACTTAAAGTTAACTTAAAGTCAACTTAGAGTCAACTTACCTATTGTAAAGTGAACTTAGAGTCAACTTATCTATTTTAAAGTTAACTTAAAGGCAACTTAGAGTCAAATTACCTATTGTAAAGTGAACTTAAAGGCAACTTATCTATTTTAAAGTGAACTTAAAGTGAACTTACCTATTTTAAAGTTAACTTAAAGTCAACTTACCTATTGTAAAGTGAATTTAAAGGCAACTTATCTATTCTAAAGTTAACTTAAACTCAACTTACCTACTCTAAAGTGAACTTAAAGTCAACTTAGAGTCAACTTACCTATTTTAAAGTGAACTTAAAGTTAACTTAAAGTCAACTTACCTATTGTAAAGTGAACTTAGAGTCAACTTATCTATTTTAAAGTGAACTTAAAGTGAACTTACCTATTTTAAAGTGAACTTAAAGTCAACTTAGAGTCAACTTACCTATTGTAAAGTGAACTTAAAGTCAACTTATCTATTCTAAAGTTAACTTAAAGTCAACTTACTCCAATTGCCGTGAAAGCTGACAAAACGATGCCGAAAGCGTCTGACATTGAGGCGATCGATAAGGAATATTCTTTCACATTGGGCTCGATCTAAAATTATGGATTTGAGAACTAACAAAGAAACTAACTAGCACTTTTCTAACAATTTTCTGATCAAACAGCAGATTTAATTGCTGATTTTAACTTGAAACAGTTATAAGACAGAAGTCAAATGGTTGAACATCAAATCACTCGGGAAAAGAGACCGTAGTTTGAAGTAGTTTGAAGAATTTTGAAGAATTTTGAAGAAGTTTAAAGTATTTTGAAGTAGTTTGACGAATAGAAAAACTAGATTACCGTAGTTTTATTACAAGTATTCGAAATTAGACTCATTTTTTTTTGAGGCGCTGACCTGGCGATGGAAATTTAACCCAAAAATCAAGACAAAACGCGTTAGCGGAACTACGTTGAACACGATGATGAAGTTCCTTTTTGCGATTGAGCAATAGTTCTCCTTCCAAACATACGTTAAATTTTGATCTTTTTTCTGTTAATAATGTTTTCTTGATGTTTTAATATTATTTTTAAGCCCAAATGATGTCAGCCGATTGTTACTTAATAATATTGGTTTATAATTTTGTTTGCATTTTTTTCCACCACGAGTTAGGCAAGGATTTTCTCTGCTAATGCATTATAATTTTGGTTCTCGCACATTTGAGAAGCTCCCCGCCTTTTTTGCCATTAGCAATCTAGCTTTGAGCTCAAATATCTTGGTGTTGGGCTGTTCAATTTCAATCTCCTTGATATCATTAGACGCGCCAAATCTTCCTCTGTCGATTGGTACAAAAACTATTTCAATTGAACAGCCGAACACCAAGAAATTTGAGTTCAAAGTTGGATTGCCAATCGCAAAGGGGCGGGGTGCGCTTTTTATACGCCCCGCCCCTTTTTACATCCTTTTTGATTGTTGATTGTTGCGTTACTTGTCCAAAATGACACATAAAGATTGGAAGAAAAGAAGAAGAAAGTTATGGTGAGTTGCCGAAAAAATCCAGTTGCGCGATCCAATTAGAAGTTCGGATTTTACATCTAGAATGAGGTTTTGGTGGAAATTATGAGGGTTTGCGCGACTTGAGGTCCGGGATCCACTGGTGGGTCTCGTCGTCCCAGATGTCAGTCACCCTGGGATCCAGCGGTGTGTCTCGTAGTCCCAGATGGCAGTCACCCTGGGATCCACCGGTGGCGATTGGTGTTTTGTCTTGATTTTCAGGTCGAGATCCCAACGCTAGGTCTGACCATTTTCTTGTAAGGATCGCGCCAAAAAAATGATTGTATACTGGGTCGAACCCAACATCCTCGGCTTTAGAGACAGATGCTCTGGCAATCCAAACATGAGGACATTTTGATTTCGCTAATTTTCTGTACCTTTTTCTTTCAAGGGACTTTCTGTACCTCTTGGGCGGCTTTCTCTGCAAACGATTAAATTGGTTTTCGTCCCGAAGAAAAGAAATTCAATCCGGTATCAATTTGTGCTCCGTCGATCATTTCATTTTGGCGCAAAAAACCAGCAACGAAATCTGGGCTTTATGCAAGATAATGCTCCGATTGGTGAATAGTAAACGCACCATGGTTACAAAGGAAGAAAATTGCAAATTGCAGATTGCAGATTGCAGATTGTAAATTGCAGATTGCAGCAAATTAAAGTCAATTTGTGTGTCCCGGGTTAATTCGCCGATTTGAATCCACAAGAAAACGTTAGGGGATAAATGGACCGCAAAATTTACACGAATAATCGGCTGCAGAAGTGAATTCACTCAAGAAAGCGATTGTTTCAGTTTGACACATTGTGATTTTATTGAGAAAAACGAAAAATAGCCCAAGCGGCCTTCTAGGGTCCTAGAAGGCTGCTTGGGTCCTTAAAGGCCTGGGCTTGGGTCCTTAAAGGCCTGGGCTTGGGTCCTTAAAGGCCTGGGCTTGGGTCCTTAAAGGCCTGGGCTTGGGTCCTTAAAGGCCTGGGCTTGGGCCCTTAAAGGCCTGGGCTTGGGCCCTTAAAGCCAATTTAGATTCGTGTACCATTAAAGCCAATTTAAATTCGTGTACCCATAAAGCCAATTTAAATTCGTGTACTCTTAAAGCCAATTTAAATCCACTTACATTTTTATGAATCCAATTGAACGTGTTTACATAGCTCGCGCCTCCATAAAGACCCTCGATTAGAATGAGAGCGAAAGCAATAGAGATATGGGGTAGGAAGGCGTATCGAGCCTCGAAAAAGAAGAAAAGTGCGTTGGCTAGCTGAAAGTCGATAGTAGAATGTAGGGATAACGATATGATACCGTAAATACTGTAATAGTACCCCACCCCCATAATGACGGTGCGGAGTGTTGCGTGGTCTAGCTTTGAACGAGTGTTTCTCGACACTGGTTTAAGCTACAATGCGCGTTTAGGTATCAAAAAATAGCCCTGAATTTCAGCTATTTTTTGATACCTAAACGAGCATTGTAGCTTAAGCCAGTGTCGAGAAACACTCGTTCAAAGCTAGACTACACAACGCTCCGCACCGTCATTATGGGGGTGGGGTACTATTACAGTATTTTCGGTATATCGATTTCTATAGAAAATGATGTATTCTAATATAGAATATGAATGTATTCTACCTGCAAAACGGGTAGTAAGAACAAAACGAGCAACGGCAGCTCCACCACGTTCACCGAGGATCGAGAAAGGAAAACACCCACTTGGTACAATACCTGAAAGTGAAGTGTACTAGGATTTGAAGGCTTAGTCCAGTAAGATCAGGTTTAGTACAGTAAGGTCAGGTTTAGTACAGTAAGATCAAGAAAACCAACCTGATACCATCTGTATTGACTGCTTTTCGAGAGACGGAAACCCTCGGAGCAATTGAAGTAGATCAATTGAGTCTGAAATCGGAGCGTAATTGCTCAAATGCTCAAATGCTCCATGCTCAAATGCTCAAATGCTTCATGCTCAAATGCTCAAATGCTCAAATGCTCAAATGCTCAAATGCTCAAATTCATAACCCTGACCTTCCTCTGAACTCAATTCTTCATTTTTCAAGCATTGCCCCGAGAAATCTGAAGAATTGAGTGCACCAGAAAGATCGGTTTACAAGAGTTGAGCACAAGAGCGTCTGTGCGGTTTAGTTACAGTATTCTGTAGAAGTTCAAGTTCAATCTTACCAATCCTTGATTAATCAAATACTCAGCAAAGTAGACGACAGAGAGCGGGATCATCAACTTGAGAAGAGGCTGTAAATTATTTGTCATAATTCTAGACTACAGTAGTACTTGAGAAATGTCTATAGTACTACCGTAAATACTGTAATTGAAGCCTCCTCCTTCTAATAGAAGCCTCCACCTTCTAATTGAAGCCTCCTCCTTCTAATAGGAAGCCTCCTCCTTCTAATAGAAGCCTCCTCCTTCTAATAGAAGCCTCCTCCTTCTAATAGAAGCCTCCTCCTTCTAATTGAAGCCTCCTCCTTCTAATTGAAGCCTCCTCCTTCTAATTGAAGCCTCCTCCTTCTAATAGAAGCCTCCTCCTTCTAATTGAAGCCTCCTCCTTCTAATAGAAGCCTCCTCCTTCTAATTGAAGCCTCCTCCTTCTAATAGAAGCCTCCTCCTTCTAATTGAAGCCTCCACCTTCTAATTGAAGCCTCCTCCTTCTAATAGAAGCCTTCTTTCTAACCTCAAATCAAATCAAATGTTTGGGACACAAGCAGCAAGGAAAGCATCATAAAATCTTTCAAAACAAGTGGAATCGGAATCGCTTCAAATAGAGATGAGTGCTTGATTGTGCAAATAGAGATGAGTGCTTCAAACCGAATGACTCGATCTCTACAGAAATGTACATGCTGAACCGTTTACCGTTCAAAGCAAAGATCTGACAACAGTATGTGGATTGGATTTTGACATCGGCTCGGCTGACAGGATATCGGCTGACAAGATCACAAAAAGATGAAACGGGAGATGAGAATCCAAAGCTTTCTTCAATGGAAATCTACTTGAGCTGGAATATAAATGTTTGTTCCAAACAAGTGGAAACTTTGTGTTCCACAAACAACAAGGAAAGCATCCAAATTCTTTCAAAACAAGTGGAATCGGAATCGCTTCAAATGGAGATGAGTGCTTCATTGACTGTTTCAAACCGGATGACTTGATCTCTACAGAAATGTACACGTGTGCAAAACGTGTTTTTCTTAAAAAAAAATCTCTAAAAACCGCTACAAAGAAACTGGCAGAATGAATTTCTCTGAAAATTTGGCTATATACCAAACTTTGTGTGCTCTATCTTTTATCTATTGACATGAAGATTGGTTTCCTTAGCTAAAATGTCTAAATCGTCGTCGTCGTCGTCATCGACCCGTCGTCAGGGGTGAGGAAAACGGGGAAAAGACCAGATTTTTGAAAGTTCTTTACAATTCAAGTAAACAAACCTTGATTAAGAACATTTTCTCCTTGAAATTCGTGACTCTTTGCGGCACTCTTGTCTCCGTTTCCAACTTCTTCAGATTATCCTGACTTCCGTCTTTCTCAATGTCATCTTCTCCTTCGTATCCCTGAAAAATTGTACTGAAAACTTTGGTGCTTCAAAAAGTGTAAACTTTTAAGATTTAGAACACTAACCAATTTTTCTTATGGTGTACTTTGTGCTTAAATCTGTAAACACAATCCGCCTGGGATACGCAATCAGCATTCATTGAGCATTTCACTTAAAAAGCAGCAAATTGAGTGCACCAGATGCGAGAAAAAAAGCCACTGCAACAAGCTATTACAGTACTCTGTGGGCACTACCTACAACAAGCTAACTATTACTATAGGTACTACAGTATTACAATATTACAAACATGACAGTACTTTTGCGCTTCACGGTTTATCTTACAGGTTATAGTAAGAAAAAGAAAACAAAGTTTTGCAAAGAAAACTCGCATTCTAATCGACATTCTTTCATCGATGAGGTGTCTACTAAATGCTTCGAAATATTTGGTCTACTAGGTTCTAATAGACAAACTACTGTATGCAGCACAGTATTCCACTACAACAGGCTAGTATAGTACTACAGGAAACTACAGTACTACCGTACACAGTAATTGAATGCTTTAGAAAGGGCTTTTCACAGGGCAGTGGCTTTTTCACAAAAGAAAAATTATTGTAAAAACAAAGTTTTCCCATGAAATGATCCCAACTCTTAATTATTTTGAATGATATTTTTAGGATAATGATTTTAGGATAATGATTTTAGGATAACTGTGCGCTGTAACTGTGCGCTGTAACTGTGCGCTGTAACTGTGCGCTGTAACTGTGCGCTGTAACTGTGCGCTGTAACTGTGCGCTGTAACTGTGCGCTGTAACTGTGCGCTGTAACTGTGCGCTGTAACTGTGCGCTGTAACTGTGCGCTGTAACTGTGCGCTGTAACTGTGCGCTGTAACTGTGCGCTGTAACTGTGCGCTGTAACTGTGCGCTGTAACTGTGCGCTGTAACTGTGCGCTGTAACTGTGCGCTGTAACTGTGCGCTGTAACTGTGCGCTGTAACTGTGCGCTGTAACTGTGCGCTGTAACTGTGCGCTGTAACTGTGCGCTGTAACTGTGCGCTGTAACTGTGCGCTGTAACTGTGCGCTGTAACTGTGCGCTGTAACTGTGCGCTGTAACTGTGCGCTGTAACTGTGCGCTGTAACTGTGCGCTGTAACTGTGCCCTGTAACTGTGCCCTGTAACTGTGCCCTGTAACTGTGCCCTGTAACTGTGCCCTGTAACTGTGCCCTGTAACTGTGCCCTGTAACTGTGCCCTGTAACTGTGCCCTGTAACTGTGCCCTGTACTGTGCCCTGTAACTGTGCCCTGTAACTGTGCCCTGTAACTGTGCCCTGTAACTGTGCCCTGTAACTGTGCCCTGTAACTGTGCCCTGTAACTGTGCCCTGTAACTGTGCGACCAAAGCGCCCCTGGGCGGACCCTGCGACCAAAGCGCCCCTGGGCGGACCCTGCGACCAAAGCGCCCCTGGGCGGACCCTGCGACCAAAGCGCCCCTGGGCGGACCCTCTTCTCAATCACTTGTCACTTGCACTTATAAATTAACCAGAAACGTTTTCTAAATCAGTTTTTCGCGAGGAATTCGAATTTCTTACTTCTAAAATTGTATCTTTTATCTAAAATTACCAAAAATGCAGAAAATACAAGTACGGGAACTTTTGGCGCACCCTGTACTAGTACTTTCGGTTAATAGGTACCTCTGGGATCAGCCACGTTGACGGATTATATCCGGGACTGTAAACGGTTGACGGGAACTCGAGAAGTATCCAATAAGCGACTGCGAAGATCACAGGGATTACCTAAATTCATCTATTAGAAGTCTTTCATCTATTCATCCATCTATTCATCCAAATTTCATTTCTTTCATTCATTTTCTAATTGAATAAGTTCACCAAATGAAATCCAGCTTTTTTCATTAAATAACCCAATTTCTCTTTTCATTTCTCTTGAAAATGGCTTCTAAAAGTTTCTGAAAAGCTTTGTTTTGAAGGTTTTTCATTAGCAAGAAGCCGAATGTTCAAAAATGACAAAAATGACAAAGTTCGATTACGCGATTTGCTTCGATCTACAAAGAAAATTTCGAAATGAAATGAAGAGTGCAAGATTTTGTATCAAATTCACTATCAAATCAATCAAATCAATCAAATATTCACTTCTAATCATCAATATAACCCACCAACATCACTAGTAGCGCACTTTTCGGCGAGAGATTCCCGAGATGAGGCTCAGTGAGGGCAGCATAGGCGAAAGAACCTGGAATTCTATATTTTCAGGTACCAAGAGAGTTTAAGCTTCGCAAAATATTCATTTCTATTCTTTTATTCTTCTTTTTAACAAATTCGCAAGCGATACGGCCCTAAGCCTAAGCCGTATGTCGATTTTTTGATCTTGTTGGCCTAAGCCGTGGGTTGTTGGGCTAAACCGTATGTTGTTGGCCTAAGCCGTATGTTGTTGAGCTAAGCCGTATGTTGTTGGCCTAAGCCGTAGGTTATTGCCTAAGCCGTATGTTGTTGAGCTAAGCCGTAGGTTGTTGGCCTAAGCCGTCGGTTGTTGGCCTAAGCCTTATGTTGTTGGGCTAAAAATTTGCACCAGAGGGTTTTCGGGGTCAAGGAATTCGAATCCGTTATTAGATTTTAAAGAAAACTTCTTCATTTTTGAATATTTCATTTGGTTTAATTGCCCAAGTTTTTAGAGAGTTTTGTGATAACTGTATTGGCTTTGAAGTTGCTTAAAAACGAACTGGTTCACATTCTCCATCCCAGAATGTTTCCGGTTACCTAATTTCAAGTCTACAGCTAACATAGCTGTCTACAGCTTGGTCTACAGCTTGCTCTACAGTTAACATAGCTGTAGACATAGTAGAGATGGTAGTGATGCTTGGCTTTGTCACGACTTAAGTAGGTCAGTGAGTGAGATCAATAGCTGATGAAAAGTAAGCCATATTGTGTGAGTCTTAGCAGTCTTAGCAGTCTTAAAGTAGTCTTAGCATCAAACTCACCAACAACCCCAGCTCCTCCTGTGCCGGATGACCAGGCTGAGATGATCGTTCGCGGGAAATGTGAAGACAATGAGAGATATGTTGTCTCACCAATTCCAGAACCCATTGAAGCCAGCACAACTCCTGGAAATAGCTATTGTAAGTACAATAGTGTACCATTCGTGTACAATTCGGTGTACAATTCGACTGTGCCTTTCTGTTCCTTTCAACTAAACTAAACAACTAATCCGTTTTCTAAAACGTGTTTCGCTTTTGATTCTGAGATTTTGTTGTTTTTGTGGACAGCTCAGCCATTTTTTCAGCCAAAGTCAACATTTTTCTTTGACTCACCCAATAACGAAATTGTGTACGATTTTGAGTAAGCAACCACGAGATATGAGGCAGTTTGGAGTCCAATAACGAGTACGTGGCGGAAGCTGAAAATAATCTTTCTACTATGCTTTTATCATTAGTTTTGTCAATGATTTAAACTAAAGGAGAAGTGTTTTTTTTTGGATTGATACAATTTTAGAGTCTATTTTGAGATCAACAAACCCGTATGGGATTCGACTCAACATGAACGGGACAAGCGCCTTGACGATGAGCGATGGCAAGATATCGGCCAAGAGAACACCGCCAGTCGATTGTCGACCATCGCACGCTCGTGTACCGAGATCTGCCTGTAATATTGCTGATTGTAAATTGAAAATCTATCCAGGATTATGTTAAACAATCGTTTCTACAATATAATACGTCCATCCGAACCTCGCCACTTTGCATGACTACTGTAGACTACTGTAGACTACTGTAGACTAAGGTAGACTATTGTAGACTACTGTAGACTACTGTTGACTACTATAGACTACATATTTTACGTCCGAATCCGAACTAAACCCTTGATTGCACTTTGCATGCCTGTATCTCCAAAACTAGTGAGCCAATTTTGATGATTTTCGTGTCATTTTGTAGAGCAAGTCTTAGAGATCCTTAAATTAAAGTTAGAAATAGTAAAATCTAGTAAAAATTATTAAATTAGTTTGGATTTGGACGCCTAAAAAGGTTAGTTCGGATTCGGACGTAACATAGCATTGTCTGTCCGTATTTCTCAGCCGGCTTTGGACCAATAAAGCTAAAGCTTCTTTAGAAAACTTTAGAATCTAATATAGTATGCTATTTATAATAAAAAATTTCAAAAAATCAAAATTTAGTGGGACGGGGGTCGAACCCGGATCGTGTGCTCTATAAACGAGCATGCTCCCGACTGCGCCATGGTGCCAAGAACGCGGAAGGCGTTTTTTCTGGCTAAATCTTTTGGGGCGCTATTTTGGGGCGTCAGGGCGACAAAACGGCGTCCCAAAAGATCTAGCCAGAAAAAAACGCCCTCTTCTTTCTTGTCGCCGTGGCGCAGTCGGGAGCGCGCTTCTCTGATAAGCTGAGCGGCTGATAAGCTGAGCGGCTGATAAGCTGAGCGGCTGATAAGCTGAGCGGCTGATAAGCTGAGCGGCTGATAAGCTGAGCGGCTGATAAGCTGAGCGGCTGATAAGCTGAGCGGCTGATAAGCTGAGCGGCTGATAAGCTGAGCGGCTGATAAGCTGAGCGGTTGATAAGCTGAGCGGCTGATAAGCTGAGCGGCTGATAAGCTGAGCGGCTGATAAGCTGAGCGGCTGATAAGCTGATAAAGGAGTGGTAAAGTAAAGTTTTTCTTAAAACTTTGCACTCACAATGCACGTTGTGTTCTTTTTCGAATCCTCGTCTCCTTGTTGTTTATGAATGATATCATCAGCGGCACTCAGCATAATCACGTAACCATAATTGTTGCAAAGACCGAATATCCTGAAAGCTAGCAATTGCAATCTATCAAGTATCGGTGGATTATTGAAATGAGCAAGGAATTCTTCAAGGATTGTTGTCAAGAAACTGTCAAGAAACTGGATTCAGTTTATGCGTCGTAGCCGATTATGAATGAAATTTTTTGTCAAATCTTTCTAGTAGAGCAACTCTTTCATGTATGAGGACAATATTATATCATCTTGTAGCGAATTGAATTCTGCGTCGATTGGTATCAAATTTGTGAGTTTAGGTTAAAAATTGCCGGCGCTACAACGTTTCATTTAAAATCGGCGGGACCCCCGTAGCCGATTATGAATGAGTGGGTCTAGGAGCGTCCAACCATCAAGTATTTAGTAACATTCAACGCAGAATCATTGATAATTATGTTAAATTTTTGAAATTAGAAAGATTGGATAAAAAGAAAAAAATTAGAGCAAAAACAAAATTTTTGTTCGAAAGAGAACTTTGAAGCTTCATAAATTTTTTTCTTTTTTCTTTTGTTTGGACGTTTCTGGGCTGTCAGCTCCGAGCCAAACTGATATTTTAGTTACTATTGTTATTTTTGAATGATTTGTCTATTCTTATGCAAATGTGTCCTCCCCTGTGCTTATCCCTTTTATTGCCGAGAAGGGGCGGTCCTTGGGACTGCCTAGGAGGACAAGTGGACTCAAGGGACTCAAGTGGGACAAGAGACTCTCATTTGGAGTCCCCCCTTCCCCTTACACTCATTTCTAATCTATTAATCTTATTGTATTACTGTAAATAAAGATATGTATCTTCCGGGTCTATGCAACTGCAGTACAGGTCGGTCATTTCACAGGGACTCCCCTCTAATACGTTGGAGGAGTTGAGTTGGAGGAGTTAGGGTTGTCGGGGTGTTAGAGATGGCGGGATATCAAAAGGATTCACTCTCTTTAACTTAACCCAAATTCTAGTCCACATCCGTTTATGCCTAGGAACGTATAGGGCAAAGTTTTAGCGATTTTCCTAAAAACAACGAAATCTGGGCCTGGAAACAAAGTAAACGATCGAAGCTTGAACCAAAATTGGTTTAACTTGTAAATATTTGATTTTTTGTGAGCTTATAACTTAAATAAAAAGGATTACAGATATTTAGTTAACCAGAGAACTCAATTTTTCACTTAAAAAACCCAGAAAAGAAGGGATTTCCGAGTTTTTTTTCCACAAAAATTCATTTCTAAACCATTTCGATTAAAGATTCTTACTTTTTACGATAGTTTTAGGTATTTAGAATAGCTTCGGTACTCTTTAGGCTTTCTATAGAAAGCCTATAGAAAGCCTTTATTCTATAGAAAGCCTTTATTCTATAGAAAGCCTTTATTCTATAGAAAGCCTTTATTCTATAGAACGCCTATAGAAAGCCTAAAGTTCCCAAATTCCCAAATTTCCAATGCTTCCCTCAAACTTCCTCAAAATTTTCTCACCAAAAAGCGACTACATTCCTCCAAATCGTCGCCGATTTCCAATTCACTGTCATTCGATGAACGGTGCTGAAAGAAAACTTTAAAACTAATTTCAAAGCAATAAAAATTTCGGAATGTGTCAGCCCATTTTGAATCAGAAGAATCGGCAGAAAAAAAATGAGTTATCGGAAAAATTTGGCGATAAAAATAGCGGACAAATTTTCAGTGAAATAATTTTTTTCAAATTTTTCTTTCCATTGAAAAGAATTCTTTACTAAATTTGTAAACTATTAAACTATTAAGCTATTAAACTATTAAAAACCCTAAACTAATAAAATCGTGTATCTTTCTTTGAATTGTGGTCTTTTAAAAGTTCCGTGGTCTTTTGAAAGTTTCGGGGTCTTTTCAAAGTTTCGGGGTCTTTTAAAAGTTCCGTGGTCTTTTAAAAGTTTCGTGGTCCTTTCAAAGTTCCGTGGTCCTTTAAAAGTTCCGTGGTCTTTTCAAAGTTCCGTGGTCCTTTAAAAGTTCCGTGGTCTTTTCAAAGTTTCCTGGTCTTTTCAAAGTTCCGTGGTCTTTTAAAAGTTCCGTGGTCTTTTCAAAGTTCCGTGGTCTTTTAAAAGTTCCGTGGTCTTTTAAAAGTTCCGTGGTCTTTTCCATTTTTTTGTTTTCTTTAACCAAAAAGACTTTTGAAATTGTTTTAACGTATTTTATTAAGTTCCACATGCACCAGTTTATTTGATCAGAATTTAAAGAAAAATCCTAGGGAAGGAGCCTCCATGCGAACCAACAAATGTTGAAAGCGGTCGAGCCACCACCAATCACCGTGACCACTAAAAGAAACTACTGGCAATGATGCAAACACTGGTGACGAGATGGATGCTGAGTCTGATAACGATGTCGTTCTACCTCTATGGGCTCGAGTTGAAGAGGCACCAAGAAACATCAAACAAGATGCCAATAAAAGATGCCGGACTTGTAACTTGATGGCTGGAAACATCTTACGGCAAACATCCACTCAAAAAGAGCAAGCCTCTCGTTTGTGCCGGGGACCGACGTTGGGCGACATCGTACAGAATTTCTCGCGGCCTCAACAGAATATCATCAAGGCAAGGATGTTTGTCTGACTGTATGTGAAGGCCAGCTTCAAAAACAATTGCGTTACCAAAGAAACGCAAGGCGTGCCAAACCTTGCATTTTGCTGGGATGCTAAAATTGTTGTTTTTATGATTGTTCTTTAAATTCTGATTAAATGTGCATGTGGAACTTAATAAAATACGTTAAAACGATTTCAAAAGTCTTTTTGGTTATAAAAACAAAAAATTGCAAAAGACCACGAAACTTTCAAAAGACGATGAAACTTTGGAAAGACCAGGAAACTCTCAAAAGACCACGAAACTTTGGAAAGACCAGGAAACTTTGAAAAGACCACGGAACTTTGAAAAGACCACGATTCAGGAAAAGAGCCAGAATTCTTTACCAAATTTGTAAACTGTTAAAACTATTAAATTATTAAAAACACTAAACTATTGAAAAGATCTATAATTTCTCTACAAAATGGCTTTTAAGAGAAAGCTTAAAGCTCGCCGCAACTCAGTAAAAGCCAATTTTTGCGTGTAAAATTCAATTGCTGTTTTAAAGAAAATCGCTGAACGGATCGTTTTCAAATTTTACAGACTTATGCAATCAAATGAGCTCAAACTTTTTTACTTTTATACAAAAATAGGTTTTTATTGAAGAAAGTGTCCAAAAGTCTCCAAATTGCGACCTCGGCATCGGAGCAGTTTTGGGGTGCTCGCCTTTGCGGCTTTGAAAACCCATAAAAACAACAACTTCTAAAAATTTCTCAAAAGCCATTTTGTAGAGAAAAAATCAAGCTTTTTAATAGTTCAAATAGAAATTTTATTGCTTGGCGGTATTATTTTTAAAAAACGTTTGGAAAAAAAACGGAAGTGTTATGCCCAAGAGAAAATCCCTATTTTTAGCTTAATTTTGGCTCGATTTTTGATAGAAATTCTATAGAAAGTTAAGCTTTTACAATGCTTAAAAGTTCGACAAGGCAAAATTAATCCCCAAAATCTGGACAAAGAAACGAAAAGAAACGAAAAAATGGTCAAATCGGAAAAAAGAAAAAAAGAAAAAAGGAGACTTCGAAAATTCCGATCGAAGAAAGGCAAACGTTTTGTGAACTGATAAAATCTTTTTCCTAAAAAGCAAAAGAAAAGATTTGCTACTGCTTACCGGCTCAATTCGTTCAAAAAGAAAACGTGTCTACCACGCTTTTTTTGTCCGGAAAGAAATTAAAAGACAAAACTAGAGATGACAAGAATTTGGAGTGTTTATTGAAAAAAGGAAACGATATAAGGAATGATACCAGGAAATGAAATGAAAGAGCCTTTCTTCAAAAGAAATCCATTTTGGTGTCAATGGAAAAAAAAAGACTGAAAAAATAAAACACGACGAAAGACTGAAAAATTCTTTGTGGCGGGGTCCTTTTATTGCGTCGGGTTACGGTAGTTTCCGACGTTTGGCGCGGAAACGTCTGAAAGGCAAAGTGTACGGTGGACGGTCCGAAAGGCATCTGTCGTCAGAATTTTATTATTTCAAGAGAGAATTCCTTTAAATTGATTTAAAGTAAAATGAAATTAAACCCAATTTGTTTAATTACTTTTTTAATTATTAATTATTAATTATTATTTTTAATTTATTGGGTTGGTGAATTGAAAACTGCGGGCTATTGTCATATGTGACAGTTTGAGCACTTTCTTCAAAAGAAACCCATTTTGGTGTCAATGGAAAAGTTGTAGAGAATCAAAAATGAAGCTTATCTCCAAATTTTCAGAACGATTCAAGAAACGCCAAATTTACGAATTTTCACAAATGAAATGACGGAAAAGGAGGGGGATGGGAGCGGGTGGGGGTTACGGTATCTGTCTGTCTTTCTGTCTGCCTTACTGTACGGGCATTTTTCCAGTCCTATTTTGACCAATATTTCATTTTCCATTTTGGTTTTCAAGAAATGCCAAATTTACGAATTTTCACAAAACTTGCATTTTAAGCGAAACTACTAAGTGTATCTTTTTGGAAATTTGGCTCTAAGCCTAATTTTTGATTCTCTACAACTTTTCTATTGACACCAAAATCGGACTTCTTTTGAAGAAAGTGCTCAAATTGGGACATTCCTCCATTTTTGAGTCTCCAGTCCTCCATTTCTGAGTCTCACACTTGTCTCACACACAAACCAAAATCCTACTAAAAATCCAAAAAGGAATCCGCAAATTGCCTGTAAAATGGGCAGAAGTCGTCAATAATAATGGAAATTCTTTGGAATGAATAATAGGTTTTATGTTGAATAAATTTTAGTTCAAATTCCCGCAGTTTTCAATTCACCAACCTAATATATGTTCTCGGGTCAGAATTTTCTTTAGAATTGTTTTCAGCCTTCAAAAATTATTGGTTATTATAGAAAAACGCGATTTTTTTGAAGCTAGTTTAATTACGCAAGTCTCAAAATATCCGTGGCAGTGCGCCGAAGCCGTTTTTACCAACGAGCAACACGAAAAGAACGCACAAAATCCGCTTTTTACGAAAAATCACACAATTTCCTAATAAAACTAACGCCAAATTCGGAAAGAGGATCCAAAATTACATAATCTCGTAAAAATTTAAGCTCATTTGGTCCAATTATCCACGAGAAACAGTCGTGACTCAACATTGAGTCTATGTGTTAACTTTGATGAAATGCTAGATGTCTAAGAGTTCAATTTTTGAACAAAACACAGGCCATTGTTTTGTCGCTGAATCAATTTCTATGAAACAAATTTAGACATTGAAATGGAAATGAACACGCATTCGGTGAAGAAAGGGAAGAAAGAGCAAGAGACTTTTGAAGTATTTCAGTATCAAGTGAAACAATTGGACTCTTCTGGCGCACTTATTTAAAAAACTGTAATAAGATTTAAATTCTGTAAAAGATTGGCTATCTTTTGGCTATAAAAACTGATGAAACAAATTTAACCAGGAAGCTTTTAGAGAGAATTCTAAAACGGCAGAATTTTTGCCACACCCTGTAGAGGATATGGCGGGAGTATCTACATTACTGGACAATGAAATATCATATTTGAAAAACGATCGTCACTTTCGCGCGTCTGTAACTCCATTGTCTTTGATTTTAAACTATTAGTGTTATGCATTTTCTGAAAGCCCTTTTCAAGGGCTACACAATGGTAATATTAATATTTAGAAAGACGGTAAAGACAAGGGAGTTACAGACGCGCGAAAGTGACGATCGTTTTTCAAATATGATATTTTATTGTCCAGTAGTGTATAACCGAAGATTGCTCAAATTTCTTAGCGATGGAAATCAGTCAAAAAAAAGAAATTGGTCATTTCACGGATCCTGTTCTAATGATTTTGCGTTAAAAGAGCGTCGACACAGGGAAGATCAAAATGGCCAACGCCACAACAGTAGAGACAGAAGTTTTGCGCCAAATGGACCACGAGTCGGTACCAAAATGGGAATTTCCACCATTTTCTACAATATATTATCATAGTCCTGTATTCTAGTTATTCAATTGAAGATGAAACAGATCGATTGATTGATTGATTGACGGGACAGATTGATTACGACGAATGGAAAAAGCCCCTCTTACGGAAAAGCCCTACGCCAGACGACGAGCGATTACGCGACCGTACAAAGACCAAAGAACACCTCTCTCTACAGAATTTCTTTTGTTCTGTAAACATTGCTCAGATGAGAGCTAAAGCCAAAAGTTTATACCCAAGGGTTTTCGGGGTCGGGGAAGCGATTAGTGGAGTTCGTTTATTGTATTTCCCAGCACAAATCTCTAATTTGTACCGACCTTTAGTCATTTTCCCGTGTTTTGGCTAGAAATAATTATCACCTGAATAAAAGAACCAAAATTTAAGCATAAAGTACATCTCAAAGAACAGCAAAAGGTTCAAATTTGATCGAAAAAGTCCATCTCAAAGAACAACAGAAAGTAATGCGTTTTAAAAAGTGTATAACCTTGAAAAACTATCGTAATCTTTAAGCTTTAAGCTTTAGCTTTTGTTT